GCAATCCATTTATTGAGCACCTTCTATATACCTATGCTGTAGGCTAATGACATGGGATTCAAAAGACCGATTCCGTGCCTTCAGGTATTGTAGTTTGTGGTCCACTGGGGGTGATAGATAAGGGAACAAATGAGCCCAATACAGTGTGATAAGGGCACTGCATTCATTCATCCAACATTTATTCAGCACGTATCCTGGACTTAGCATGAGGGTGTAGGAATGAATGATGAGTCTTTCTAGGAAGTAAACGGAGAGCATGCTTTTAAGAGAGTAGAGCACAGAGCTTTCCTTCTGCCATTATGGAGAGAATGGGCACCTAGCCCAGTGAAAGGATGGAGTTGGGTCTGAGAAATTCTTCCATAGAGGCGCCAACACCTGAGCTAGAGGGAAGCGATGTGTGCGGATTCCACAGGCGTGGCAGGGAAGGGAGCGCGGCACAGGGCCTGCAGGCATGGAAGGCCTGCAGAAAAGTGGTTGTGTCCCCGCTTGGGACACTCGCTCTCCTGGTCCTCGTCCTCCTCTCTGGCCGCTCCCCCTTCGCTGCAGAGATGCCCCAGGAGCGCAGGTCTGAACCTCTTCTCTTTTCAGTTCATGTTACTCTGTGCTGATCTCGTCCAATCTCACGGCCTTCGGGACCATCTCCATGCTGATAACGCCAGCACGGACCTTTCTCAGTAACTCTACACAGGTATATCCAACCGCCTAGTCAGTGTCTCCACTTTTGACTCAGGGTAGGGGAGATGGCTGATAAGCACCTGCAACTTACAAGGCCCGGAAGGACCGCCTCATTTGCCTTCCACCAGACGGGGCGTCCCTCGGTCTTCCTCTGTCAGTAACTGCTTCTGGTCGTTCAGGCCATCAAACTTGGTGTCACTCTTGACTTCTCTTTCTCTCTCACCTCCTATCATATCTGCCTGCAAGTCTTATTAGGCCTACATCCAAGTGCATTTGGAATCTCTTCCCACTGCTGGCCACTGGACGGGCCTGCATCCTGCCTTGTACTGCACTGGCTTCTTAGGGGCACCTCCGCTCCAAACTTGCCCCCGATAATTTATTCTCAACCCAGTATTCTCAGGGAGCCTTTTAAAAAACAGATCAGCTCATGTCACCCCTCTGCTCAAAATACTGCAATGTCCCTCAAAAAAAAAATTAAGTGTAGAATTAGCATATAACTCAAACAGATATTTGTCCCCTCATGTTCATAGCAGTGTCATAGCAGCCACAAGGCGGACGTGACCCAACTGTCCATCAATGGATGAATAAACAGAATTGGTATATTCATACAATGGAATATTATTGGGCTCCAAAAAAGAAGGAACTTCTGACACACTCTACACCATGGATGAGCCTGGAGGACATTAGGTTGAGCAAAATAAGCCAGTCACAGGAGGACAAACTGTGTGACTCCGTTGACACAAAGTTCCCAGAGTCAGATTCGTAGAGAGAAAGTAGATGGTGGTTGGCAGGGCTTGGCAGGGCGGGGCTGGGGGAATGGAACGTTACTGTGTCCTGGGGACAGCATTTCAGGCTTGCATTATTGGAGCTTCTGAAGATGGATGGTTGGGATGATTACACAGCAGTGCGAATATGTTTAACGCCACTGAACTATACACTTAAGAGTGGTTACAATGGTAAATTTTGTGTATTTTACCCCAATTTTGACAAACACCTCTAATGGCTTCTCCCCTCCAAGGAAAGGCCCAGGGCCCTCAGATCTGATCTGGTGTGTCCCCGTGTTAGCTCTCCGACCCCCACTCCTGCCGCTGTCTTCCTGCCGCTCCCCTACTTTCTGTTTCTTGGACCCGCCGTTCGCGCTGTCCCCTGGTACCTTGAACTGGCCGCAAAACCCAGTCCATAGCTGGCACAGGAGTGCTCCACCATCTTGGGGGTCCCAGTGGTGCCACTTGTGAAGTAGATGGTCATCGGGTCCTGACTCTTGGTCCTCACGCAGCTGTGCTCTGCAGATGCCTCCCTGAAAAATACAAAAATACTAGGCGGTCACTAGTCGTAAGAAGATTGTAGTAACAATGGTATTTATAACAGTACTGGTCACCATTTCAATAGATACTGCATGCGAGGCAGTGTGTTGGGAGCTCCAGCTGGCTCTGTCTCTGACCCCTACAGCCACCTCACAGCGTGGGCGTCATCGTTATAACCCTTTGCAGGGAAGGAAAGTGAGGCTCAAAAACGGCTAAAGGTCTCACTCAGAAGCGCCCAGGGCACAAGGCCTTTTGGATGCAACGCACACACCTCCCCATCCATACTTCATTTCGGCACAGCTGCACCGCCAACCTCAATTCCTAGTCATTCAGGGCAGTTTACTAACGGGGTTCCCTAAACTTGGAGTTTTGAGATCTGGGGAATTCTTTAAATTCTGGGATCTGATGAATCTTCGCACCTACTGGGCCTCAACCCTGGCTGCACCTTCGGGTCAGCGGGTGAGTTTTTTTTTTTTTTAAAGATTTTATTGGGGAATTGGGGAAGGGGAACAGTGTTGGGGAATTGGAGAAGGGGAACAGCCAAGTTGTTGTCCTTCAGTCTTAGTTGTGGAGGGTGCAGCTAGCTCAGCTCCAAGTCCAGTCGCCATCTGGCCGCCCGTCGGCAGCTTGCGGCCACTCAGCTCAAGGTACTGTGTTCAATCTTAGTTGCGGGTGGGCATAGCCCATCATCCCATGCAGGAGTTGTACCAGCAATCTTGTTGTTAGGAGTACGTGCTCTCACTAGATGAGCCATCCTGCCACCTGTTGGCAGCTCAGCTCGGGCGTGGCCCACTGGCCCATGTGGGAATCGAACTGGCGACCCTGTTGCTCAGAGCTCACGCTCTTAACCAGCTGAGCCACTCGGCTGGCCCAGTAGGTGAATTTTTAAAAGAAATACCATTGCCTAGTCCCCAGCCTGGTGAAAGTGAAATCAGATTCTTTGACGGTGGGTCTGGGCAGTGGTCATTTTTTTTTTTAAAGCTCCTTAGGTTATTCCAATGACAGCCAAAATGGAGAGCCACTACCCTAGACCCACCTGGCAGCTCATCAAAACCACCTGGGCAGATCTCTTAACATACAGATTCCCAGGGCCGTTGCTCAGTTACACCTGGTTAAGTAGGTCAGCGGTGGGGCCCTGGAATCTGTATTTAAAACAGCACACATAAATAAATAAGTCGATAAATAAATATTTTAAGAGATAACGCCTATAATTTTATGGTAGAAAGTTTACATTCTAGTGCAGGAAAGAACCATCTAAGCGTATTTCCCATGTCCTGGAACTTTTAAATATATCTTTTGTGCTCAATACTTACACAGGCTAAGTATTTTCTGTTCAGGTTTCTGCCGCTAATCATTGTATCAAAGTTTAATGAAAATATATTAGAGAAAAACGTCATATGTTGGAAATATAGTATTTTGGAAAATACAGGATATACTGTTTCTAATGTATGCATATGGGTCTATAATCCTAAAAATAACACATTTAAATAAATGTGACACAGAGTTCTCTTTTAAATAAAGGGCCAAGAGACAAATGCTGATATTATTGTTTTCCCGAAAATCAGATCGGGTCTTATATTAATTTTTGCTCCCACAATCTACATTTGTTCATTTATTCATGTACAGAAATCTGCATTTATTCAAACAATCATGTCTGGCTGACGATCATCTTAACTGGGGCTTATGTTTGGGGTAGGGCTTATATTATGAGCATCCCAAAAAAATCACGCTAGGGCTTAATTTCCAGTGAGGTCTTATTTTCAGGGAAACACTGTGGTTATAAAATAAAGTAAAACCGCGCCCAGGTGAATCTGATGCAGTCGGTCTGTGAGATGGCATTTCTGACTTAATGGTGTAGGCCCCTGACAGGGTGGGGGTGGGGTAGGGGGTGGGGTCTCTTGTTGGTTCTGGCGTCTGATCAGAACAGTCTCAAATTCCAAGGTAGGTTTCCACCAGGACCTTGTTCAAAGGCAGATGGCGTTGGTTCTGTCCCAATTCTGACCTAACTACTTGTTAGCATCTTGAGCGAGTCACTTCACTTCTCCATGTCTCTCTCTCCTCACCTGTGAAGTTGGGTTAAAAGTGCACAACTTATAGTTGTCCCAAGGGTTAAACGAGATGATTCCTCATTGATTTTTTTTGTGTTCTGCACACCAAACACAATGCTTGGGACAAAATAGATGTTCATGAAACCAGTGCTGCATGAATGAAGGTAGGTGAGTGATAATCTAACACGATACCTGGCAAACACTAAGCACTCAATACAAGGCAGCTATTATTATATCATTAATTTGAGCACCTACTAGGCACTAACTGCATCCTATAGGTTATACTCTGGCTAATGGCTATATAACTACTCTTACCATAATAGAGGCAAATACACAGAAAAGCTAGTGACAGTTCCAGTACTGACTGAGCGAGTGACTTTGAAAGATCTTAGGTTGTCACCAGAGTTAGGTCTCAGGTCCCTCTGGCTTCCCCAGTGAGCGTCCCTCTCCGATTCACTCTCCTGGTTTGCAGTCAGCAATGCCCTTCAGCCCTGCCATTTCAAGGGGACATAAGTGCCTTGGCCTGGTTTTTATGCTCTGTCTGGAGAGTCCTAACTTACCGGAGGACTTCCCTGAAGTTCACCCAGCCCGGCCGACTGTCATCAGACACCAGCAGCTTGGTCTGGAGGGAAGGGCAGTCGGCGCTAATGGCGTCCACCCTCGGAGCCAGGGAGCCACTGGTGATAATGGACTTGGCCCTGGACGCCTGCAGCCGGTATTTGAGGTCCTTCTCCGTCAGCTGAGAGATGCCCGGAATCATAATGATCCCTGAGAGCACACAGAGAAAGGAGGTTGACTGGGCACCAGGGGCTGGCAGACCCCTGTGATGAGGTCCGGGCCAGAAATCCCCATCAGAGATCGTAGCAGGAAGGGGCTGGAGAGAGAACAATCATGATGATAATGAAGTCCAGAAAATATTCACACAACAGTCACATGTGCTAAGAACGTTCTAGGCATTAGCTCATTGAGTTCTCACAACCCTGGAACGTCGATTCCATTATTATACCCGTTTTGCAGATAAAGAACTAAGACTTAGACATGTATGCCTTAAACGAGTGAAAGTTGCCCGTGGTCACACAGCTAATATGCTGTGGAGCTGAAACCCAGGCAGCGGTAATTCTGTGGCCCGTGACTTTCAGCCTTGTATTAGACTGTCTGGGAGATTACCTAGCTCCGTGGCTTCCCATGCCTTTCGAATAGAAGCCTCTACCTAGTGCTTGGTGTGGGTCATTTGGGGCACAGTGGAAGGTACAGCGGCGGGGGCTCCGTATGACACCAGCCAAAGCCATTGTGAGGGTAGCTGAGTTCGTCTCTTCCCACGGGGAAGGAACGAGAAGGCAGAAATTAGGGACAAATTTTGTTCTGACACAGAATGCAGGCTGTAAATACTCCATTGAGACCAGCACCCTCGTTTCACGGACAAGAAGAATGAGATCCTACAAGAGTCACCATCCTGCCAGAGCCCAAGAATGAGGGCAGAAGACAGAGGGAGGGGCCAGGCCCCACAGCGTGGGAGCCAAAGCAAGGTGCGCATTGCCCGTCGCTCTATCTCCTAAAGTTTTGCAGGAGTTACACCCCAGCAGGAGCGCTTTGGGGGCTGAACGGTGTGGCTCTTCACTCCATCTCTCTGTTTGGGTTCTGTTCCACTCGGAGTTATATGTGGTGCTTTGGGGGCCCACACAGATCGGGGACAGCCAGAGCTGTGAGCAGGAGAAATGCGTCCACCACTGTAGACTGGAAGCAAGGTGACAAGTGCACATCAGGACATGAGAACGTGACAGTGTAAGAACATCCAGCCTGACCATCCTCTAAAATATTAGAGAGGATGCCAGCCTTGACATGGCAGTGTGGGACGTGATAGTGAATTACTTTCTTTGGACATCAAAGAAATGGGTGAACCTGTGTATTTGGGGGAAACGGAGATGTTTGGGTGACAGAAAAAAATAACGATAATGCCACTCCAAAGGGAAGTTTTTATCATGCAAAGTGCCAAACACAGTGGCACATAGTAGGTCCTCAAGAAAAGTCCAGGGGCTCTCTTACCTTTGCCCTCACTGAAACGGACCTTGTATATCATGGAAGAATTTGGAGAACTCTCCAAACCCGTACTCCTGTTTCTTTTCCTCAGAGATGGACACACTATGGTGGTGCTCACCTTTATATATTGTGTAAAAATACATAAAAATAAAAGTAAACTTCCTGCCCTTTTTTGGGGGGAGGGGGAACAATCCATTCACAAAATGGTTGAATTGAGGTTTATTCTCTGGTGTGAGTTTGTTCCCCTCTGTTTTGCAAACCTTATTTGCAAAAACATCCGTATACACGACTGGAAGGGTTGAACAACGTTCCAAGTGGTGGGAAGTTTCCGAGGGCTGGTGGAATCGGCTGTCACCTAAAAACTCCAGCCCCTTCCGCAAGTGCATGGGACAGCTGTGTCTGCGGAGGCTGCCTGGACGCTCTGGGCCGTGTCCTTGGCCGCTGACCCTCTGCTGGAAGAGCTGTCCCAAGAAGGTCAGTGCAGAGTCATGGCAGCAGGAGGAAGAAGGCTCCAAAGCTAATCTTGTGGCTTTGATTATTTTGCCCTCCCCTTGGGAGCTGATAGGTGCTGCGATGGTGAGAGCCATAGTGTAAGAGTGAGAGCAACGCAGGGTGGTCGGGAAGGTCTCTCACCCATCGCCGCATTGCTCTCCACACGCTGGAGGCCCCCAAACCGCAACCAGCAGAAAATACGTGTGTTTTGTCCCACTCAGAATTTTTTAAAAAATTATTTCGTCGTCTACATTAAAAGACGGAGGATGTTTGACTAGAAACCCAGAGTTTTCTATTCCAAAGCCAGATGTTCAGGAGACACTGATGCCCATCCCCACGTGAAAATGTGGTTGGAGTCAAGATGCCCCTGTGGAATGAGGCACGTGACGCCCAGGTCACCACCGTCCTCGGCGCTCCCTGCTGCTTCCGACTGGCCAGCTTTCATCGATGACATCGTTGTCGGACCCCGGGACACAACCCACTTTGTGATTCGGGGCGAAGGGAAGGCAGCAAAGCTCCACACACAGCTTGGCGTGCTCCATCTCCCACGCCTCGCAGACACCACGGTGGTGCTGGCCCCACCGGGGAGTCCCCGCCCTGCTCACTGACCTGCCCGCATACAGGCCACGCTGACCAGCCACCACTCCGGGACCCTCGGGAGGACCAGCAGCAGCCTGTCCCCAGGCTGCAGGCCGCACGCGCCCCCCAGCACGTTCGCTGCCTTCCTGGACTGCGTCCCCAGCTCCTCAAAGCTCCACTTGACTTCTGCGCCGTTGCCACTGACCCACCAGAACGCAGGGTTCGGGGGCCGGTGCCCAGCCTGGCCAGGAACGCGGGCAGAAAAGAAACAAACACTTGATTAGGATTTTTCTTTGCTGCTTGTGGTTTTTAATTTAATTTTTTAAAATCATAGCTCTGACAGCCACAGGATTCAGAAATCAAAACAATATGAAAGCTAGGCATTGAGAAGCCTTGTTTTCATCCTTTTACCCATCTCCCCTTTTCCCCACTTCGCCTCCCCCAGGGAGTAACTAATAATTTCAGTTTCTATCATATTTTTCTAGCGTTTCTTCAGGCAAACTTAAGTATACTCTTCCGTTTTTCATACCACCCTTTTAATACAGAAGATAGATTGACACTGTCCTGTCTCTTCCCCTTTTTACTGAGATACAGTCTTCATACCATAAAATTCACCCTTTCTAAGAGCACAGTTCAGTGGTTTTTAGCTTGTTCACAAAGTTGGGTAACCGTCACCACTATAGAATTCCAGAACATTCGCATGATCCTAAAAAGAAATTCTGTACAGATCGCCCACCTCTCGCTAGCCTCTCCTTCCCCAGCCCCCGGCAGCCACTGATTTTCTTTCTGTCCCCGTGGATTTGCCTGCTCTGCACACCTCACATGAATGGGGGTCGCACAGCATGTGCCCCTTTGCGTCTGGTTTCTTTCACTCCGTGTACAATTTTCAAGGTGTATCTATGTGATAGCGTGTGTCAGTGCTGTGTTCCTTTTAACGGCGGGATAATATTCCATCGTGTGGACAGACCACACGTGTTCACGTCCATTCCTCAAGCCGATGGACAGGAGGGTCGCTTCCACTTTTTTGGCTGTTACGAATAATGTTGCTATGAACATGTGTGAACACGTTTTTGTGTGGACGTATGTTTTCTATTCTCTTGGACACACGCCTAAGAGTGGAATTGCAAGGTTGTAGGATAACTATGCGTCTAACTTTCTGCGGACCCGCCAAGCGCTTTTCCACCATTTTACATCCCCACCAGCAATGTGTGAGGGTTCTAACTTCCCTACGTCTCTGCGGATGCTCGTTATTGTACTTTTCTGTTTATTTTGGTTTGGTTTCGAGCCAGGTTACTCTGTGTGAAGTAGTATCTCATTGTGGTTGGGATTGCATTTCCCTAGTGAGTAGAGATGCTGAGTGTCTTCCCCTGTGTTAATCGGCCATTTACTTATATTCCTTAGAGAGATGTCTATTCAGATCCATATCCCATATGCTAATTAGGTTACTTGTCTTTTTATTGTTGAATTTGAGTTCTTTATATACATGTGGATACTAGATCCTTATCATACACGATTTGCGAATATTTTTTTTTCTCTGAGCGATCTTTCACACTGATAAACAAATGCTATTATTTTTCATGAAGTCCCATTTCTCTGTTTTTTTTTTTCTTTTATTGCTTGTGCTTTAGAAACCATGGCCTAGTCCAGGATATACGCCTATGTTATAATTTTTGTTCCTTCATTTAGGCCTTTGATCCATTTTGAGCTAATTTTTGTATGTGGTGTGAGGCAGGGACCAGCATCATTTCTCCACCTGTGAATACCCAGTTGTGCCAGCACCCTTGGTTGGAAAGACAATTCTTTCCCCACGGAATTCCCTTGGCACCTTTGTTGAAAACTGACCATAGATGTATGGGTTTATTTCTGAGCTCTTCATTCTATTGGGTTGTCGGAAAAGTCATGACGCATGTTTGCAACAGATGGCACTAGTTCATTTTTGAAAGTACTAGAGTCATTTGCATCTATGTTATTGCTACATCATTTGACAGCTGAGTTCTAGCTTCATTCTGAAAAAAAAATTGAGCGATTTGGTTGAGTTTTGGAGATTTTACAAGTTGAAGATGGAAGACCAAACTGTGCATTTTGGCCATATTTTACTGTTTTGCTTCCTTAAAGGGAAGAACACATGTCAAGCTTGTGAA